GCGACTTAGGGGAAATGACATTGGAAGGACACAACGGAAAAAGACTCCAACTAGCTTCAAACCTGCAACCTCCTGGTTGGAGGGTCAACCCCGTCCCCTTCATGTTTGCTCTGTTGTTTCTTCAACTGGGATGACATTTTTATTTTATTTTAAACGAGGATCACGTTCATATCGATGGGCCTGGCCTGTTCTGTTCTGGAAATTTGGAGTAAAGCTAGCCCCATCATAGAGGAACAAAGAGGCTTCTGATAGATGAGGCAACAGCTACTCTTTCGAACAAACACAGACTGGGTTGAGAAAAACGTTGTAGTGAAGGTAGATTTTCTTGTTGTTAGTTTTTTTTTAATTTGTTTGGGAGGGGGGGTGTTTGTTTTTGTTGGGTTTTTTTTTTTGGGGGGGGGGGTTATTTTTTGTTGTTTGTTTCGTTTGTTTTGGGTTTTTTTCTGATTTTTTTTTGGGGGGGAGGGGGGTGTTTGTTTCTTTCTTTCTTTCTTTGGTTTTTTTTTTTCTTTGGGGGTGGGGGGTTCACGATTAGATCATTTCAGAGCCAGCCTGCTTTGATCCTGCCCGTAAGGGGGTACCCAGGTGGTGTGAACTTTATTTCAGAAAGAAAAGGTCAATAGTTAATTTGACGAGATATTACTCAAGTCTTTCTATTTATCTTCCCAATTTAGAAACTGAATTCACGTTCCCTGCGGGTAGAGCTCAGTGTCAGACTTTTATTTCATGGACGCTGACATGACAGAAATGGGTCAGATTCAATGCTTCATGAAATAGTTATGAAGCCAACAATGAAAGAGATAAACAATCAAAGTATCAATCACCATTCGGCAATCCCACGCTGAGTCATTTCATCCAAGTTATTTTCTATCTATTCAATCCTTTGAAAGTGATTTAATCAGCATCAAGCACCATTCGAAGTTTACATAACATCAAAAGTCCCAATATTTGTTTGCAGTCAACAGCTTGGAACAGGGCAAACATGGTTTTGTTAACCGCAAAATCAAATTATGTCGGGGGGGGGGGGGTCCCCCTTAATTAATTCGTGCCGACTAAGGGAAACGGCGAGATGTTCCATTGATTCTGCTCCACTGACACCTAAAAAACAGCTTAAAACTGCACTTCCACCTTTAAAAAACAGCTAAACACTGCACTTCCACCTAAAACACAGCTAGCTAAACACTGCACTTCCACCTTTAAAAAACAGCTAAACACTGCACTTCCACCTAAAACACAGCTAGCTAAAAAAAACTGCACTTCCACCTTAAAAAACAGCTAAAAACTGCACTTCCACCTTAAAACACA